ATGGAAATAAAGTCTTTGTAAATAGGGAAGGGTGGAGGGGGTGAAGGGAGGGCTAGGAATGGGGAAAAAATAAGAACCAAGATTCATCATGTAAAGGTGCAATTCCCAATGAGAAATGTAATTGTGTTGTATACCTACAATGTACCAATAAAAGAATTTAACAACAACAACAAAAAAAGAATCTATTACATTGGACTGACCGGTCCTATAAGGAAAATTTTATTCTAGTTATTTGTTTAGTGTATTCTTTTAATATTCTATCTTCTGAAGATAAAAGTCCTTTCAATTTCAACTATCTGTATCAAATAACAATTTAGTACACACTGCACATACAAATTGAACTGAAATACATAAACATGTTATCTGACTCTCACTAGCCCAGAGTTCAGTTAATAGATGTCCTATCTTTACTCTTTTCATGGTAATGTTATTTGTGTGTGTTCAATAATAATCTGCCTTCCTGTTAACCCAGGTATAGCTGAGAAAATCCATTATGCAACCAATATCTTGCCTACAATGCTGTATTTGAGAATGAAGCTCATTAATGTGATAAAATGGGCCACATAAATTCCAGTGAGCATTTTACTCTTACTCCAGGATGTACTATGAGTAAAGCTATGCACACATATCTCTCTGCTCTAATCTCGCTGTATATAAGCATCAGGCTGCGAATATATGCCCCATTACCACAGTATTAGAAATGAGAACTGTATAATTTCTGAGAGCCCAGACTATAAGACAACAAGAAAGAGTATTCTGAGGAGAAATGGCTGGTCAGCCTGAAGCCCACTGTGTCACAAGTGACCCCTGACAGGAGACAAAAGGTTGGAGATGAGTCAGACTTTGGGATGGCCCTTTGCAAAGCTGTGGCTCCCCGCACAACTCACCTAGTCAGACTGATGTTAGATCACATTTAGTAACAAGAGTCTTAAGCTTATGATAACCCAAAGGCATTTCACAATCACCTCTCTGCAATAAGAGCTATGTACAGTTTAACATAATCACAACACAGCTTCACAAATGCAAATCTCAGTGCAAAATAAACTGACTAAATAAGAGGTCAGAAGGACAAAAAAGAATGGTGATAATAATCACAACATACATAACAGAATTTCAAAATCAAATAAACTCCCCAGCCAATGTTATTGTAACAGGAAGTCCACTTGGTGCCCATTTGCTAAGTAGGAATGAACTTAAAAGTTATTACATAATTAACCTATTGCACATAGAGCCTCTCAGTTTTAAGATTAACATCTAAATGTTAAAAAAAAAAAGCAAAGCTAATGTTTATGGAGCATTCATGTTCTAAAATCTATGTTAGATGACTTACAAGTATAATCTCAGTGTTGGAAATACTAACTTCCTAGTAAGATTAAAGTAGATTATATTTATTTAATCTGCTTTAAAGCATCATAAATTATATGAGGGCCTTTTAGATTTTATAATAATCATATTCTTTGCTACATTCCTAGATAACTAATAAAAAAAATTTAAATTTATAAAACGTCAATTTATTATCAAAATTTGATTGGAAAGATGCTGGCTGCATCAATTCACTTAAATACTCCCTGACCTCAAAGAACCAACTACTCCTTGCAGAGGTAAACACATGTACACGCCTGTGTGTTTACTCGAGGGTACTATACTGCACTCAGGTGTTGGTTCTGTGTCACACTGGGTCTTCTGGTTTTGCTGAGCATACTCCCAAATGTGGGGTAAGAGCCACAGGTCCTGAATGAAAGTAGGACAGTCAGATCCTTCTCCTCCCCCACTCCCTTCAAAGAGCAAGGCTGCTTCTGTCAATCAAAGCTCAGTATTTAAGAATACCCGTTTGAAAGGGCGCCCAGGTATTAGCTGGCCTAGAGCACCCAATTTCTAACCAACAGGAGCATCCACATGTCTCAGGCTGACCGTGCGTGCTTCTCACAAAATAATGAGCTCAAACTGCAGGACCGTGCCCTGTGCTCTCATCTTGGCGGAGGCCCGAGGACATGGAGCCATACCTGACTTTCTCCGTGGCTCCTCCCGCTCTCAGTTTTGAAGATGGACTTGGGCTTCCGGGACTTGAAATTGCCCATGCTGGGTCGCAACAAGCCGTCCAGCAGCAAGGTCTGCTCTACATGCTGCTGCGCCTCATGCGACGAGGGCTGGTGCTCCTCTACTCGAGCGCCAGTGTCCGGGTAATTCTCTTTGTTGTTTTCATCTCTACAAGAGGAAAGGCTCAGTTTACACAGCACCATAAATTGAATGCAGTGGACCCTCAAGTTATGACCAGCCTGACATACGAACAACTTGGTTTAATTAGGTTAATGGAAGATTCATCTGCCTCTTGCTATCTATAGCATGTACCCACCCAGGTAAATATCCAGATCTCAGCTGTATTGACTTACAATCAACTTGAGTTACAACCTGCCTTCAGGAACCCAACAAGTTCATAAGTCAAGGGCCCACTGAAAACCTGTGTAGGAAAAGAAGTGTCTACGATATTAACTGCTGCTCTCTTTTTAGGATAGCTAGAAGTTTTTAGAAAAACTTTATTAGTGTGCATTAGTTATATTACTTAGCAAAATTTCTAGTGTAAACTTAGTTTTATAGGAACAAGGATTTAAGAAATGTGAATCTTACTTTTTATATCAGGTTATCTTCTCTTTCAATCTTTGTGAGTAGATGCAGGCTTTTTGTGGCTGTGCAGAGATTAAATAAAATGCCCACAGAGGGGCCAGATCACACAGACCCAGGGGACCAGGTGCATCTCTAGTTTAATATTGGTGCCTAATCATCTCTATACAACTTTCAGAGGCATTTAAAAATTTAACAAGATCTATATAGATATGATACAAGTTACCTTTATAAAATACAAGTCAAGAGCTTAATTTTACCTTATTAGGTCATCTGACCAGTACCTTAAATGCAAAGTCAAAGATCCTGGCATCTGGGTTCTACTTGTGCGGAATCATCAAAGAAGACACAATAGGCTGGTATGACCTTAATACTTTCAGTTCTGGGATGGCATTTTATTTTTCACTCAAAAATCAAATGCAATGCAATATCCCAGTCCCTTCTAGTTTCTGTCTTTTCAAAAATACTGACATAGTAACACTCCTATTTGAAGCCACTTGTCCCATTTAAGTTTAGGTACATTTTTATTTCATTTTGTTAAGAATCAAGCAAACACTACGAACATAACTAATGGGACCTTCTTCTTATACAATCAATAGAATCAACCCTGATAGGCATAGATCATGCAATTCATTAGGAGTAGCCATTTTATCGGGTATTTTTGCCTTATGCTTCCTTGCTAGGAGCACCCATAAAAGACCTTTAGCAAGGTCACCCGGAAGCAATTCCTTAAGGCTCAAAGATATATAAAGACAAGAGCTAAGACCAGCAAATGATAGATTTCTGTATTCACCACTCACAACCCCTTTGGATAAATAAAAAGATTAAATTCACTAGACTGGTATCAGTGGGGGATAAACTCCTATTAATCTCTGGGGGGAAAAATAAAGCAAAAATCAGAATAGATAATCTGAACATGGTACAGGGACAATAGGCAAGGGATAAAAATAAAACTATGTCAAAGAATTAAACTTAAGTCCCAAGAAAATTTTAGTGCTTCTTAGTAATGGCAGACCCAGCAAATAAAATAATAATAATAATAATAATAATTCATTATTAGTAACAAAAAAAATCAATGCCAGTGATACTGGTTGATATTCTTTCCTTGTGATCATTTACAATTAAATTTTTTTTCTTATTAATATCAAACCATAAAGTGGAAACTACACTAGTTCACTTAAGGTACATTTCTTTCATTAAGAAATAGTGGGATATACTACATCATGTATTCCTATGGGACCACACTCTGTATTCCTATGAGAGAAAGGAAAGTTACCGAAATGTTCCTCATTCAGGTAGGATGCCTGAACACTCAAGAATAAGAGAACAAAAAGTAGTTTTTCACATCCAAAATGACTCTCCTTTGATCAGTTCATTCCCAAAATAATACTTGAACTTGGTTTTTATATCATATTTCCAAGTCATCAAAATCTATGGATATGATCGTGTTCAGCTCAGACTGGGAAGACAAGGAAAGAAGAACTGGACCAAAAAGCACCTTTTCCTCATACTCAAATGTACAATCCAATTCCAAAAGCCATCTTTGGAAATATATTTCTAACATTTCATTGGTTCCTTAGGATCCCCATACAGAAAAGCACAGATTCTATACTTTACGCCACTATCTGCTGAAATAAGATATGACTGAGAAAGATCAAGAGTTCCAAAGCTGCTTCCACTTTGTAGTCATGCAGCTTGGGCCACATCATTCCACCTCTGTGATCCTTATCCATAAAGTGAGTTTAACACCTACCTGGAAGAGATAATATGGTGTCTATGAAACACCTGCATTGAAAGCTGGCTCAGGGCCACAACCCAGTGAATAAAGGCTATTGTCTCAAGCAGAGCCTTAGCCAAAAGGTTATTTGCAAAGAAAAAAAAAAAAAACTGAGGGTTCCTTTTATTATTCTCCATATCTCCAGGATAAATTCCAAACTCTTTAGTAAGGCACACAAACCCTGTGAAAACTGGTCTTTGTTTATCTCTAGAGTTTCATTTCTTACCATCCTTTGCCTCCTCACCCCATACCTGGCCCTCAGGGTTTCTACTCTCCTCAACTCTTTGTTGGTCCTTCAACTCAAACTCTTCCACCTTCTGTCAGGTTGCCAGTAAGCTGCTGCTTCATGGAATCATATTTTTCTGGGCGTTAGACTTTCACCCAAAAAAGAGTCTTGGGCCACATGGAGTTTTCTTCAGGCATGTATCCCACAAACTTCTCTGAGTTATTTGGTGCTTCTAGATGAACCCTTTGTTTACCTCTAGGATGACAGCACTGTACACACTCTGACATCTTCATCTGCGTTCTCGTCTATCTCCTCTAGCAGACTGAATTCTTGGGAGCAAAGGATGGTTTGACTTTCTCTGCTCCAAGTCTTGACTGGTTTCTGGTACACAAAATAGGCTCCAATAAATGTTGTTAGCCACTAGTTGAACTGTAGAGTCAAACAGATCTGAATACAAATTTTGCCTAATACCGCTACATTGTCTTGAATGCACTATAATCTCTCAGAGCCTCATTTTCCATCTATAGAGGGAGAAGGAAAATATTTCCTTTCTTTCAGTTATTTAGGTTAAATAATAAAAAGTACATGGAAGTGCTGGAAACAAAGTAAATGTGAGATAAATGGTTAATTGCAAAGGTCTTTCACTGTATCATGAGCCCCTTGATGGCCAATACTCCAGACATTCAATAACATGTTTATGAATAATCTAGAACCTCCTTTTTAGGGTGTATGCTGGGAACACAGATAAGCAGAATAATTTTCAATTTAATAGGCATGTCTTGAACATTCCACATATATAAATCACTGTCCTGGCTGCTAAGGATAGTGGACGAGACGAAGCTTCCCACAAGAACTGAAAATACAGTGGAAGAGATGAGACATGAAAACAAATAATTTCAACTCAAAACAGAAACTCTAGAGCCAGAAGGTTTCTGTCTCTGACAAATAAATACAAGTGAGAACCAACCAATGGGAGGTCATACCTAAGACTAGAACAATCAGTCTGGTCTTCATGTAGAGAAACTGTATCTTCGTCACACCTGCAGAGAGGGGAAGAAATCATGTCAGATCCAACTGCCTGTTACAGCAGTAGCAGCAATAACCTAGAATCATCTCAAGATTAGGATAGTAGGCCAAAAAAATGTAACAATCTTCATTATTTTCTCCCAAACCAGCTCTTTTCACAACATGACTGCCAGGAAATGGTAGCAACTTTTGCATGGCATGTGAGCTCACAAGCTCAAAGCCAGTCGTGACTCTCCATTTTGCCTTCAATGCTTAGCAGATATCATCTAGGCGAATAAGAACCTACATGATCACAGTATGAGGACATCAAGCACCAAGATGAGTGGATTGTTGTTGGCTCAAAAAGATTCTATTACATATTTCTTGGCATTTTCTCTGCATTGAGTCGTATCAAACAACCCCCGACCCCATTTGGCTTACCCTGTTGGTCTTTTCATTTGCTTATATAAAGGACATGTTTCCTTTCTACAAAACTTCTGAACTAACCATATGAAAAAAATCTTGACTCTTTCATGTTGAATAATCTCCAGTGCTTTACTGTGCCTAGCAGAATCTGGAGTAGGACGATTCTGTCACTGTAGTGTAGGAGGGAGCCTTTGTTCTGTTCTCAGCCATCCCTGCCTTGCTCTACCCAAACCATCCTCAATTCCTACTCATCCTTCACGACTGCCCAGGTCAGTTTATACCAGCTCCATGAACCTTCCCAGCCAAGTTCACACAGAGCCACAATCCTACTTTAACTTTGATGCATAAATGTTTACATTTCATTCTGAGGTTGTGGTAACAAACTATATCATGCCTCACAGTGCCGTGTAATCCTCTGCAGATATCTTTTTCCTGAGATCTTTTTAAATGCTTATTTATTCCACGAGTAAAAATAACTATAATTTTTTCTAGACACACCACTACAGTGCCAACCACAGTGCTACTTCAGAGTTAAGATTCAAAAATACTTGAATTAAAATATTTACTTTGTTCCTTCAGTGGGTCCTGTTCCTGAATAATTAAGCAAGTATTTATTATTTAGTGTATCCCGGGTACTAAATTAGCATAGTTGGCGCTATACTGCTCAAACTCTCTAGAGGTTCAGGACTGACTGACCCCAGTCCACTGTGGGCAAATAATTTCATAAAAATGTCATAGCAATGTCAAATTCCTATTAAAGTTATTAAAAGCTTACTCCCTGTTTTTGTTGTTTTCTTGTCTCAAGTTATAATTTAGGTACGCACACTTTGAGTAACACTGCTTCTGAAGGACATAAAATTTAAAACAATCTGAACCCTGATTTGAGAAATCCACATGGTAATAAGTAAGCAAAAGTAAACATACAAAAATCTACATAAACAAACATAATCACACTATAGTATTTATACTATATTAAATAATTTAAAATTTAAAATTTTCTTTACTAGCACTGGTGCATAATTAGTCTACAGAATGTCTTGGTGAAAGCTCCATTTCCCTTCCCTTAAAATCTCTTTTTAAATTATGGCTTTTACAGTGAGTTAAACAAAGGCTACCTACAGACTCTTAACTCTCTTTACCTGCTGAAGTATATTGTTCTCTCTGGAAATTAAAAAAAAAAATCAGCTGACTTAACAAAGAGCTCTTTTAACTGACTGATCTAAATTTTCTTGCTCATGTTTTTAGTTTTGTTTTGTTTTGTTTTGTTTTACTGCCACTAACCCACTCTATCCATCTCATGGAAAATGACAGTTAAATTCACAAGTATTGTGTTGTTATATACCATTAGCGGCATTTGCCTAAAGTATTATCTGGGCTTTGTAATATGAATAATGTTTTCCAATAGCAAACTAGAAAAATCCATGAAAATTAGAAATCTAGAAATGTTGTTTCTGAGGAATTAGGGTTCATCCTAAGAATCAAACCTGGTGCTCAACAATACTAATTGTAGAGGATTTTGCCTTAACTTATTTTTCTCTTGTTTGATTTATTAATCTCTCTCCTCAAAATATCATCAATGAAAAATGGAAATTCAGCACCAGAACTAAAGTTTCAGATGTTTTCTGAAGCATGAGGCTGGATAAAATTGGTAGATCCAATTTTAATACCTATTGACAATTTCATTTGTAAGTCAAAAAACACAAATCGAAGATCTAAGGTTCAGCAATTGAACTAGACCTCCCTCCTGGTTTACAAGCTGCACTCATACAAGGTCTTTTAGTTCAGTGGAATTTTCAGTTATTTTGATAAGTACCATCTACTTCCCCTCAATTAGCATCTCCTTTCTGTCCTTGACCCAGAAGGTCCTGCAAATGTACAATACTAGTCCAGTTATAAAACCAGAGTCCATGGTGGGAACCCATACCCAGAAATCCCTATTACTAGATTAACTCATTACTTAATCTATTACTAGATTAAGTGTTCAACTACCCGAGGCATGGCGTTCTCTTTCTGCATCATTATAGCCCTACACAGGAATTTAAAGACCAACGCCTTTCATAATTTCCATCTTAGATATTCAAAACTAAGCATAATATAATGCATTGTTTTCCAAATTGTACAGTATGATCTGTCAGTGGATCTTGAGATTACACAGAGCTATCAGCATGTTTTTTGTTAATGCTGTTACACAGAGTAGAAACTGTCATCATAGCAAAGATTAATTGCTGTTTCATGGAATTCATTTAAATTACCTATGTGTATGTGCACTGGATTGTAATATACAATGTTTTTCTCATGGTTGTTCATAGTGAAAAAGTGAAAAACATCTATTAAATGAGTTCCTTTGTAGTTCTCATCAACCAGATCCTAAGTTTTAGGGTCCTTCATGTATGATTGCCCAGAAAATGGATGGAAAATTTGCCTTTGCAATCATTTCTCAAGGTGTTTCTTTCCTGTTTGGACTTTCACTCTCTCTGTCTACCACAAAGAAGAAAAGGTGTATAGTACTTCACAGTTCACTTGCCCTTTCACCTTATCCTAAAGCAGTCTGACAGTGCAGTGAGGTAGGAATTACCTTCAGCTAGAGGCTAAATTACTGCCTTTGGATTTCAAGGCCTAAAGCAATGCAGCCTGTGTTGTTTCTGCTCCACCACACTAAATGCATAAGGCAGAAGCCAAATAACCTCTTTAGAATATATTCCCAAAGGCCCACACAAGAGAGAATTCTACTTCTTAGAATAAGAAGTGTCCATTTGTGAGAAGTTCTCTTTTCTGATTAGAGAGACGCCACAGATTAGGTGCTAAATAAAATTGTGTTGAGCTAGATTCCATTCGCCCTATAGTGCCATGTTCGCTGAAGACAAACTTGCAGAGGCACAGCCTCCTGAGGAGTGTCTCAGTGTGAGGTCCCAGAACTACCTACATTCATACTAGCTGTACCTGATTCAAACAGCAAATTCTGACATCATCCCACCTCAGTCCCTACAACAATTCTCTTAGGGTGGAGCCTAGCACTGTAAATTTTTAAACCAGATTGCCCATCCACATAACTGGTAAGCTTCTAAAAAACTCTGACCTTAAAGTTTCCAAATCCCAGACCAGTACTAGGCCATTCTGGGTTACCCTTGCAATAAAGCCCAAGAGTATATTTGTCAAAAGCTCTGAGCCTCTTTCCCTATCGATAGTGATCAATTCATTTTGATGCTTTGAATGCTTTGAATGATAACTAGTTAAAATTCATTTCAGAGAGCAAGTTAGACAGGCAATACAGAAAATGGGAAAAATAATAGATGAAAAGATGCCACAAGTATATGAGAAAAGACCAAAGTCACTGTGATGTTGAAAGTAATTTTAAATGACTGAATTTGTCCAGAGCTCACAGTGCTAATCCTGGAAACACCAAGTAGAGAAGGAAACCTGTCTTTCAATCCCTCTCAATTCTACTTCCATTTGACTCATATAAGACTCCCAGGTGACCAAGCAGGACTGTCAGATTAGGACATCTGGTTAAAAATTCCATATAAAAATATTGATGACAACTTGAGGTCTACCTCCTGGATTTTTTAATTTCCATTTTAATAAGGGTCCCTACTAGGGCCCTTAATCCAAAAGAAATCATGTCCAGGTGGAATTTCAGTGGGTGTGGGTAGGAGGAGGTAAGAATGGGGTGGGAACAGGAGAAAGAGGAAAGAGGAACGTTTCATGATTCAAAACATATGAGACAGGAAAGTGCCTCGTCAGTGTAGGCCAAGACATCACCCAGACATTTATGGAACATCTGCTGCATCGGGGCCTCAAGGCAGCACCCTTGGGTCACACCCAGAGAACTAAGGGACACAGTTCCTACTATTGATCAGAAGGTGAAATGTTGCATTTGACAGCGACTAGTGTTGAATGACCTAATCTGTGGTGTGGTACACCTATGAAGCTTTCAGTAAGTGTTCAGTATGTTCCTTAGATTCTTATATTGCCAGATGGCATGCCAATTATCACTCAGAGCCTTTTAAAATAAATCACTGTCACTTCTCTGAAAGTAACAACACGATCTTATGCAATCAGAACTCCTTGGGGAGTGTCCAAAGACAAGGTACGACACTCTCCCCAGCTTTTAGCCACAATACCTTGACAAAAAATAAATACATAAATTCCATGTGAAATCTGGAACTAAGTGTCTCCATTGTGAAGCTTCTCGCCCCATGACTGACTCTGGGGATATAGCCACACAGGCTCCTGAGAATCAGGCCCAGGAAGTGCTTGGCTCTTGGTAACACATCAAGGGAGGAGAGAGAGACCTGTGGACCTGAACCAGGAAGCCAAGGCCCCATCTTTGGCCTTCAGATTTGATCACAGATCTCTCTTCTTCAGTCAGGCATTAGAAAAGCAAAGTTGCTGCACAGGTTATTTAGCAATCTCATTAACAGGATGCAAGTCCCAGTGAGTATTTCTTCTAAAGTGTTTTTGTTTGTTTGTTTGTTTTAATTTTTAATTAAAAAGCTTAAGTGAGCTCAAAGATATACACTAAGACAGTTACCAATCCAAACAGAGAAACAAAAGAATGTAGGAAACAGAGGGCCTCTGAAGCATTGTCTTATCCCTGTATAAGTTTACACCTCCAAGTTATTGTCATCAACTCATTGTGACAGTGTTGGAACCTGAAACTCAAATAATACTTGTTTCACATTTACTTGTTTTTTAGGGAACTTTAGCAAAGAGCTCTCAAGTTGGGGTTTCTGTATCAAACTCACTATATTTTTTAAATGTAGTTGAGTAGGCAACTTTACACACATCTTTTTTTTCTGAAAAGCTTTTCCAAGTGACTTCTACCAAAGGTTCCCAGAATTAACATCATGAATTTAGCTAAAGGAAGATTGCAAGATGACGTACAGTATTTATAGTTAGTACACATACATACACATTGCATGTAGTATTAAGAAAAGATGCTATTAATTTTTAACATTTATAATATTGGGAAAACATTAAGGAAGGGATGACAAGAATTAAAACAAGGAACTATAAGCATCTAATAAAAGAATACTGTGCCCACCGGTCTTGGAGTAAAACATTACACTCCTTCTTTCCTGTTGAAATGGTGTTAGTTGCCCTAATCAATAAATTTTAACCTAGGACCAGGTCATCCATTCCTCCTACAGTCGCATCTTTAATGTTCGAAGACAAAAATGACAAAGGGCATGCAAGAAAAGTTTACTGCACTGTGTCTTAAAAATCTGCAGACACCAGAGAGTGAGGATAACTTTAGCCTGTTTATCACAGACTGAAATTAAACTCAAGTCATTTGCATCTGTCTATTTGCGGTAAATGTATACACCGTGCACTCCATGAAAACTGACACTAATGTTGGCAAAATACAACCAAGCTCCCTTCCTAACATGTCAGATAGGTTTTTTTGTTTTTTAGTCTGAGCTTCAAAAACACATATCTTAGAGCATGGAGCTCTTGGAAGCCATCAGCTGGTTTTAATATATCTGCCCGGCTGCTAAAAAGGTTGATTTCATCCTGTAAAGATTTCTGGACCTCATCAGTCAACACGCCTCTCCTCGGTCCTCGCTGGCCCAGATTTCGGGAGACAATACATCTAATACGAAGAGGGGCTAGGGACAGTGGATACCTTCATGATAGTTGCTTCCAGAGAAAGGCATGCAAGTCTCATTTTAATGGCAAGAATCACTTACTCTGTTACAGCGGTGCTGCTGAAGGAATTATCCTGAAGGCTGAAACAGAAACAAGAAAACATCAGCCAGCTGCGGCCGGGAAGCCGTCTCCCTGATTGCTCTCCGGGAGTTAGAGCGCACACACAAACATGGCATTGCAAGGCGAGTCTCGGGGCTGGCCCGGCACGCTCGCTCTACCTTGGGCTGCTGTCTGCACATGCTCGTAACGACACCCCCAGCAGGGGCCCAGCCGCACCGGCGAACCACAAAGCCCCGCGGCCGGCGCGGCTGCGGGGACGGAGCAGGGCGGGGCGCGCGCGGCCCGGACTGGGAGCCGGCGAGAGGCACCTGCAGACCCCGGCCTGCAGCCCTGGCGCCCCGCCTCCGATTCACCTCTAGCTGCACTAGCCGCCGGCAAGCTCGCCACTCCTGCCTGGGTGCCAAAATGCCCTGGAGACTTGCTTTCTTCCAGACGTCTACCAATTTTCCTGAGCTACCTCCCCAGCTTGCCCCCACCCCGCCCCAGGGATGGAGGCTGGCAGAGGTTCATCCTTCGTTCAGAAAGGCCGGCAGGGAACGGGAAGGGGCAGAGACGCACTGCTGCTGGTATATGTCTTTTTAATTTTTTTTAATCTTGCGTTGTTTTTTATTGCCTAAGAAAAAGAAGAGCCTCCGAAGGAGGGATCGTTGTATCACACCCGATCTGTCAGTGCTCTGTTATTTCAGTCCCAAAGAGGAAGCTCCCAGCCCCGGACGACAGAGCTGTGAATGAGCCCACGCGGGGCGAGTGGAGAATTTATTCCAGGCAGTAGCTCGTGGCTAGGGCACCCCGAGGGGTGGAGCTTGCTCTGGCCTGGACAGCCCGCCTGAGCTCCTCCCCAGCACCTTTACAAAGGGTGGAGAAGGCAGGCCCACCGAACGCTGGCCCCGTGAAGAGAGGCGGTCGGATTGGGGGAAGGGCAGACTGCCAGCCCCCTCTTGCTTCATTCCCCTGGGATATGTGTCCTGCTTTCTTTCCATTGTTCATTTCTCCTTCCATGTTGACTTTGATACGGCATGAAAGATGCTTATTTGAATTTTGAAATAAAATCCCCACCCCCATTTTAATCTTTCCACTGCCAGAAGCAGCTGAGATAGTGCCCCCCCCATCTAAACGATGTAAACCGTTGGGTTAAGTTATCATAACGACAAGTAGAAACATATTTTTTAAAATATATTTTCAGATAATTTTAAAAATTACCCCAAACTTAGAAATAAGAGGAAGGAGCCTCACTCTCAGAGTCACGGTGAGACATTGTTTAACAGGCCCACCCGAGGGCTAATTCTCTACAAAACATATTTGTGTTTGAGTTTGCTGTTCACTATTGAGTCTGTCCCGGACACGGTAAGGTTACATGGCAACTTGCACATTTTACTCAATCTATCCAACAGAAAAAATAATGTCAGCGTTCAAGATATTGCACTGTAGGATGTTAACCAATTTTTCATCTCACCAAACAAACATTCTTTCTAATGCCTGTAAATATTCAAATCCCCAAAATGTTCTTCCAACCATCTCCAAGATGTTCACAGTTTCTAGGTCTTTGATGTGTGCCTTTATTCGTGTGAAAGTCCTGCTTTTAACTTGTAAAAGTTATACTTTGAAAACCCAAAATTAAATTTTCAAAGAAAAATGGGTTTCATTAAAGTTCTCTACAATCTTACTTTACTCTCTTCACATAAAATTAAAGCCCGATGTGGCCTTTGATTTCAATTCTGTGGAGTAAATAAGTTTAGAAATATTAATGCCCTGAATGTTTACATGTATTGTGTGTGTATGTTCTTAAGCCTCCTATCTTACAGGAGCTAGTTTTGAGGATGACAGCAGAGCCTCTTCACTGTATTCATCACGAATTGAGGCCTGTTCTTTCTGTTTATAAAGACCTAGAAGGTAACTCTATATTCAGCCTTCTTGGTTCTGTAGATTCAAAGGACGTCAGTTTCCAGAAAGCCCTTTTGCTCATTGGCTATGGTGCTGTTCCCAAGCATTTCAATACAGAGGAAGATCATACTTATCTCCTGTAAATGTTCCCAGTGAATGTTCCCATTTGAAATGGAAAAATGCATTGCTTCCAACTTTGAAACAGGACTCAGAGAAGTATATGAAATAATGTGGCATCTTCGAGAATAAAATGAAATAATAAATGTACTTAATAAATGTAAGGATTCAATAATGTTCATAGAAAAGAAATAAAAATTCTCAGCAACTCATGAGTAGAAAAGACCAAAATTAAGTTTTAGGAACTAGTCATATACAGTGAAAACAATTGATTGAAATAGCACATTATGGCTAAAACCCCAAAATATCCCAAAATAAAACCCTATTCTTTAGTAGTTTGTAAGAAATCATTTTAATTTTTGTTGTTCAACAGATTCTTAAAATTGTTTTCTATTAAATCAGGTTTTAAAAATAGTCTTTTAAGTAACTTTTCAAAGGGTTTTAAAAAATGTACTCTTCAATTTGGACAATACTGCTGAACATCATATAACACATAGTTATTTTGAAAACCATTGACTTAGCTGAATGAAGTTCAAGAAGAGTTCAAAAAGAGAAGCAGAAAAATTAATATGTGAATTTGTGAAGAAGTTTTAGAGCTGTAATTTCCAAGGTGGTGGTAGATTTCTAGTCTCCCAGATGGTCCAGGAAAAAAATTTTAAAGTTAAATTGACAAAAATAAGTTTTTAACAGCAGACATATAAATTCACAATGCATGCTAGGCAGCCAAGAAAAGTATTCCATCTATTTTTAACTAGTGTTCCTTAAATTTATTGGAGACCAACATAATATTTTGCTTAAATATATCAATTAACATCATGTGTACTAGGAATTTAGGGAAAAGAGTTCCTGAATACATTAGGGAAAAAAATACATTTGTGTATGGAACAAATGAAAATTCATTATTAAAAGTTTGTTTATTGAACAAATGAATGAAAGAAAAAAGGATACTACATGTTTATCACTGTCTCATTGTAATGAAGATACACAGGCCATGTTTCAAAGATTTTAGTACAAATATATATTGTATATGTGTGTATATAATATTTAATGCATGTGTTATATGTACAACTTTATTTCATACAAGTAGGAGGAAGAGAAAATGAAGATGCTAGATTTGAATATTGTTAATTCACTTACAAAAACCTGAATGTTTTACTTTTTCTGACATTGCTCTTAAAACCAGCATCCAAATTTTAGATTTAATACTGAGTCCTTATTATAATTGGAAATTTTTGTATTCGAATGTATTGACTTAGCTCTATGCAAAATGTAGAACAATAGTCCAGTAGTCAAGAAAAGAGTTTCCAAACTTGCTGAAGTTCAAGACTCACCTGCTACTATTAGTGTCAACTTGAACAGTGACTCTGTACTTCAATATTCTTGTTTGTAAGATAGAGATGATAATTATCTCTCTGATAGGTTCTTACAAAGGTTAAATGACATTCTTGAAAACAAACAGGAATAACAGTCAATAATCAATAGCTTTCTCATTGTTATAAACATAAAGTTTGGAAGATTATGAACCAAAGTGCTGTACTTAGTAAGTTCACAGATGATATTATATTTTCTTTTTACTTCGTATGATGGCACAGTGCTCAAATAGCCTTTTTTTCCGCCTAAGAATCATAAAATTGAAAACTTTATTAAACATGAATGCACTGCTCTAGATAGAATGAGGTTAATCCAGAATGGTTTTATGCTCACTTTATGGGTCTTCTATTTAAAATGCTTCCACATCCCTGGAGGAACAGACAATTCTGAGAAATCACTTCCTGCAAGATGTTGGGATAAGGAGCCAGACTGGTCACAATGACCGGAAGCTGACAGAGGCCTGCTCCATTGGCCTACTGCACACAGTGACTTGTAGCTTCCTGCCAGTAACCTTGGGAATGCCCAGCCTTCTCTGTGAAAGAGAGGACTCTAGCCTGAAATGATAATTTTCTGTAGAAAAACAGACAAAAACACCTCTTTCCTGAGTCTGTCCTCTAATCCTTTCTTTTACTAGCCCCAGTACCTGCCACCATAACAAAAGGGGTCTCATTACCTGACTGGTCAATATTTGAGCTCTTGAAGAGTCAAAGATGCCCAAGGAAGCAAATCCTTGATGCGAAAAGTATGTACTAGTGACAGAATATATGGTATTGGTCTCCCTTCAAACATCCCTCCCTAGTTAATGGTGTATGTAAAATCCACATTCACCTGAGAACCTCACTCTGATTTACCTACAGTAAAATGCAAATATGATGTAAACTGAATGCTCAGTGAAACTGCAGTTTTTCCAAAAGACTCAAGATGTTATAAAATCAAAGGAATCACACTAAAAACCAGTAACAAGTGAGTTATTGTAGCAACCAAAGAGTAAAAGATTTGACAAGGATGATAAGAAGGGAGTTGTCAAAAAACTAAGAATGATCTATGGAAAAATTTATGAAATCCTTAATTTTGTAAATGTGGCATTTTTATAATCATACAGTGAGTGTCAAATGTTAGGTGAAGGTTACCATTTTGAGGCATAAAATTTTTCTAGAAAAATTACATATAACTCCTGAAATGGACAAGATTCATTCATTATTGTTTCTAAGAATTAGTTCACTATTATATCTAGAATATAAAATGAGACTATTTTTATAATTTCTTTACTGATGACCATGCCCTATCAGGCTGTACATGCCCCATCCTGATGATAACTGAACTTATGTCTAACCGCAGTGGGCCCTGCAGTTATTATAACAAGTAAGCCTGATCCTCCCAGGACCTTTGCTGGGAACACCAGACTCAACACACTCAAATGTGTTCCTTGAGGAAAGCTTCCCTGACCACCTTTCTTGAATTAGTATCTCCTGCCACTCTATCCTGCTTTATTTTCTTCATAGGATCTATAACTGTCTTATATGTAATATGTATTCATCTATCTGTTTTGTAATTGCTGCCCCCCAATGGAAAAAAGACTGCTAGATCTTATTCACTATTGCATCTCTAGATCTCAAAATCATATCTACCATGGTAGCTACCTAATTAATGTTTGTGGAATGTAATAAATATGTAGATATTTAATTTCACATTTTTAAGACAAAACTCCTACATTTCCTATTATTTTTTCCTATTAGGATGGAGTGCTAGTTCCTGAGATTCTTGTCAAATGGGATTTTCCAAGACAAGTTGTTGT